GCCGCTCCCTGCTCGGCAGGTGCACCTCCACGCCCCGCCCCCGGAGGCGAGGCGGAGAGGCGCCGCTGCCGGTGGCCGGCGGCCGGGGGGCGTTGCCCTTTTTTTTTTGCTTGCATTCTGCCTTTGTGTGGCTTCTGCTTCTTCTCTTCGGCTCCGCCCAACACACGCACCGGCGCGTGCATGCATGCGTTTGGCGCGCCCAGGCAAGCGTCTGCCGCGTTGAATGGTGAAGAGTTCCAGCCGCGTGCAGCGCCGGTTGGTGGAACGGGCGGCGGCCGTCCCCGCCTCTCCCGCGGGGCAGCCGCACGCGGATGGCGCTGCGAGGCACGGCGGGCCTCGCGGGCGTAGTGTTGGGGGCGCCGACGGGACCGCAGGGGCGCGGGCCTCGCCTGTCGAAGCCGTGAGGGAGACGCGGCGGCGGGAGTCTCGGCTGCGGCGGAAGGCGACGAAGAAGGGGCAGCGGTTGAGCGCAAAAGCAGGCGCGAGCGGCACCGGCAGGGGGGCGCGCGGAGGGGCACGTGGTGGCCAACTCGGGGGAGCGGGAAGGACGACGACGACGATCGTGCACGACGAGCGGCGCGCGGCACGCCGGTTTGCTGGCGGCACGGGGAGGAAGGCGCCCGGTGGCGGCGGCGGGCGGAAGGAGGAGCAGCGCCGTCAGCTCGCGGCGAAGCTTGTGGCCGGTGAGCAGCACCCGAGCCGAAAGACGGCAGCGGAGGCGAGGATGGCGACGGCCAAGGCGGAGCTCGCGCTGTTTGACCAGGTGCTGCAGGCTCCCGCGTTTGTGGCGGACCCGTTTTCCGCCATTGAGGGGCACCTGAGCGGGGCGATGGCGTGCCTGCAGCCGCAGACCCCCGACGTGGGGCGCCGCCGCGCGGAGGAGTAGGGCCGCCGCAGCGGCGGTGCTGCACGTGTGGCGGGCACGAGGCTCGAGAGCGGCTGCGGGGGGCAAACGAGGGAGCGGGGCTTCCCTACGGCACGAGTGGCGACGGCGGGCAGCGACGGGCAGGGACGGAGCCGTCCTTTGCGGGCGGTGCCCGACCCCTCCACCGTTTTTCTCTTTCTCTTTCTCTTTCGTGCGGGAGGTGGTAAGTAACTTTCTTACGCCACGCGTGCCTCTCCCCGTGCGTCCTCCTGCACGCGGCTTCTCCGCGGCCTCTGGTTGCCCATCCCTCCCTCCCTCCCTCTACCTCTCTTTGTGTCTTGTGCCGCTATCCTGTTTGTTTCACGTGTGGTAGAAACGAAAGGAAGACAAGGAAGGGGGAAAAAAAGGTTGTGGGGGCCAGTGGTGCACGTGGAGTTGAGGCTCTCTACGGTATTAGTTGTGCTTGACGCGTGCGACGCAGCCGGGCGTGGCGTTGAATCCGAGCGTGTGTGTGTGTGGGCGACTTTTGTGACCCGGGTCCCTCGCTTCTCTCCATGCAAATGTCGCTGGTTGGGGTCGGTGGGGAACGCGCGGAGGACGTCGAGCCGTGCGCAGTGTGAACTGAGCGGCGGCGCTGTGGAGGCGACGCCGGGCACCACGTGGTGGCCGGCTGCTGCCGCCGCCGCGGAGGGCGCCGTGCAGGTCTGCAAGACGGCCAGCGGCTCCGACGCCACTAGTGGCAGCCTCCCCACGAGCAGCAGTCTGCTGGACC